TCCTCCGGTTGAAGATCAAGATGTAAAAAGAAAAACAGGATCTTGCTTTGAACAACTGGCTACATAGGTAATATGACTGAGTTTGGGTTCCATGACCACAGATGGTGCTATTAGATCACAGACTTCTGACAAGATCAGGTTTCATCTCATAAAGACTGACAAGGATGTATTCAACAGGCACCATATGGGTGTTAAATAACAGCAAATGGAAGAGGATGGAAGCAACCCAGAAGCTACTATACTGTTACATCCATGGCCAACAACCACAGGAGAGGAAGGAAAAAGTGTAAGACTGGAGCGGGAGACTTAGAAATTGGCAGGAAACTACAAATGTGAAGCTGGTATGGAATGGTGAAACTTGATGGGATGTCATGTGATTGGAAGAATCTGGAAAAAGACAACTTATTCAAAAGGAACAGGCTCAATACATAGGAAGCACAGAAATCCATGAACCAAAATATAGAAATCCTGTTGAGAATGTTTGAATAAGAAGAAAAAGCAAAGAGTTAAACTCAAGGTGCAGCTTGTGGCCCAAGTAGCTTTTGCTAAGCTTTGATTGGAGTGCCAATTTTGACCTTTGACAGTAATAATTCATGCTTTCATCACAGCTTGGTTGCATTATTATTGTATACTGTACGTGGAACAATTTTTGAATGTACCTTGATTGGTCCAGAACAGTGATGAAATTGCTGTAACTTCTTTTTGAAGTTACTGATTTGATTACCAATCAGCTTTGGGCCCAAATAAAAGGGCTGAATACAACTTACAAAGCTTTAAATAGCATGGCAACAGGCTAGTTCAAGCACTGCCATGCCAGAATTATTTCACTGAGCCTTCTTTAAGTTGATTCCTTGGTGTTTTTTTGTGGCCAGCGGGGTTGGTTTATATTTGTATGCTGTTTCAACCCAGTGTCTTTGGATTAAGGTGGGTTGTAAAAATTACAAATGAATAGCTTATTGTAAACTATCCAGATAGAAAACCAGAAGATATGGATAAAGGTTTTCTGAGCCAGTTGATAAAATTTTCAAAGAGGCATAGGAATGATAGAGTTCAGGTGGACTTGCTAGAAATCCATGTCATGAATTATGTCCAACAAATTCCTATCCTCTTTTTGGCAACAACCTCATTGTGAAAACAAAGAACAGAGTTGGAGATTGATGGCATCAAAAATTAAAAATAAATGTATGTATTCATGCATGTAACCAACAGGAAGGAAAGTAAATGAAACTTTGGAAGAATGTTTCATTGAGTTTCACAATTACAAGGGAAGGAGTGGTAAAGTCAGTTCCGTGTATTGGATTTCAGAAAAGCAGATTTTGATGAACTCAGATGGAAGGTGGGTCGGACTAAATGGTTGGAAATCCTGAAAGAGAAGTGTCCAGAAAAGATGGGAAATTCTGAAAAACAAGCTATGGAAAATGCAATCATGCACAATTCCTACAAGAAGGAAAAGTGGAAAACCAGTGAGGTCACATAATGTTTTCTAACATGCTGAAAGAAAAGGGGATTTGTATAGGAAAGTAGAAGAGGGGCATGTAACCTAAAGACGATATAAGGCAGTTGCATAAAGGAACAGAAGCAAACTACAGGGATTGAGCTAGAAAAGCTGAAACTGAATCTAAGCTAAGCTTGTGAGAAATGCCATTGATAAAAGTAACAGACGTTTTCAGATGCTCAGAAACAAAAGGCATTCAGGCTATAGGTTTTTGTAAAGTCAATGGGGTGAACTAGAAGTGAGTGATAATGAGAAAGCAGAATATCTCATCTTGCATTTTACATTGATCTTCTCTCAGGAAACAAAATTCCAGCCGGCCATCAGTGTGTCACTTGTGAAAGAAAGGAGCTTCAATTCTGACTAGATGAAAAAAAAAATACTTCACTAGTTTAAATTAGGGTCTCCCAAGACCAGATGAATCCGACCCACCTTCCATTTGAGTTCATCAAAAAAGTAGTGTAGGAGATCTTAGGATAGCTATCATCTGTGAAAATTCCAGGAAACCTGGAGTAATTCCATCCCAGTTGTGATCATAAGTCAAAGACTACCTGTAGTACGAAGAGGAGCATGGTACTCAAGTCACACGTCTCTTTCTTCTCCTCTTTAACCAGGGCCAATTTAGAATACTAAGTCCAGGTCTGAGTACTGCAGGACATGGACAAATTAGAGCAAGTTTAGAGGAAGGCCGTGAAGATGGTGAAGGAGCTAAAACCAATTCCCCCAAAATGGAGGAGCTGCAGAAGAGATGCAATAGCTGTGTTAGGGTTATATAAATGATTTTCATACAGAACCAGGGGACTTATTCTCCTAATACTCTTGCGGGGAGGGTAAGACTTGATGTGCTAGAACAACAGAGGATTCAGATTAAGACATCTAGGAAGAATTTCCTGAATACCAAGAGTGACCAGTCAGTAGAACAGAGGGCCTAATGAAGTGATATGCTATTCACTAGAGGTATTCAGAGCCTAGACAGCCATCTGTTCAAAATGTTTTTAATATATCTTGTGCTAAGCATGGGGTCAATCTAGGTAACTTTTGAGGACCCATTGAACTGATTTTTGTCAGGGAGGTGTATGTATATAAAAGAAAGGGGTGCCTTTTTTTTGCTGACAGCCTCTTATACAAGTCGTATTACCCTTGTCACCCTTGACCTATCCTCCCCTCCAAGGAAAAGCTTGTTAAAATACTTGGATGGGAAGAAATACCAGGGTTGCAGGACAATCTGAATGGTTGCAAACATCTTGGAAGAAGACACTGGCAAATAAACTTAATCTTGACTTTTACTTTTAGGAACAGCTCGCAACCCTTATCTGATTGCACACTTGACCAACTGGCATTTCAAACTTTTACCTGCTGTGCTTCACCAGCTCTTAAGGTAATTTTGTCAGGGCTCTGTTTCCCATATGGCAAACTGAAGGAATCACACTTGTCAACAATTCTTGAACATTTCATGAGATCTTTTCTCTGCTCTATTTACATCTTCCATCCAGCCAGGTGGAGAGACACCTAGCACATGGCAACTGAGAGAAAAGACATCCCCATCACTTCTATAGCTGTTCCTGGCATCTAGTCAATTTTTCTTGAATCCAACTGAATGAGAAGGAAAATCTGCTCTCCTCTGTGGGATCCTCAAAGGCAGTAATGAATTTGCTTACCATAATTACCAATTAAAGTCAAACAGGATAGTAAATATGTTTAAGCAGCTTTGTACACCTTTCACCTTGCAAGAGGACCCCATAGTCACAATTCAACCTTATAGCACTAGGGACAAGCTTCTTGTTATAATCAAGAATATCGCATAAAGGCCTCGCACACAAGAATGAGCAGCTGCTGTCTACTACTGCTAGTAGAGTCCTTTGACATATAAATGAAACAATGGTGCAATGTTCTAAATGAATGAGAGCATGGAAAAGGGGAGGGTGGAAAACAATATAAATAAGCAACCACTCATCCAGTGACTGCTTAATACACCAAATGTGCCATACCATTTTTGGAAAACCTTTATTAAGCCGTTGGGATGTTCCTGCTTGTCCCTAAGTTCTATTGCATGATATAACTCTTAAGGATTCACATGTTTAAGCTATCAAGCAGTCACCATTTCAGGGTTAGAGGCCACTCATATGGCTTATTTTTAATAGAAAAGGGCATTTCCCTAGCAGATCCTTCAGCAGGTATGAAGATGGCAGCTACCTTTGCAAATAGTCTGCAACATCTCTGCAATGAAAAGAGCTGAATGATACAATCACACCTGGAGTAAAAATCCTGAAAAATCTGTCACTAGGGAGTCGATATGAAAGAGGCCAGCACACACACAAAGCCTGGAATGATGTCATTCTTCCAATTTAGTAGTGCTTATTGCAAGTTATCTTTAAATGACCTGGCACACAACCTGGAAATGAGTACTTCTTTTTGAAGCACATTGTCTTTTTCCCCTGTAGAATCCATTGTTCAACTCCAAACATAGAAAATTAAAACAATCGCTTTCTTCGGAGTGGGTCCATGTATACTGTCATCTTTTAGACTGGATGACCAGTTGCATCCCCTGCCTGGAAGTACCTGGAGCAAGGAAGCTTTGTCCGCCTGTAGAGGTGGCATGGGGTGAAGACGCTTCTTTTTATTCCTCAAGGCAGCACTTCTAGTCTCATATCTCAAAATAGTCATTTCATGGAATTTAGTTCAAAACAAAAACCCAGCTTGTTCTGAAGTAGCAGCCGCCGCCAGAATTGTCCAGATTTACAAAGATATCCTTTGTTATGGCGATACTGAAAAGGTAGCGTAGCCATTCAAAGGAGGACATTCACAGAGACTTTTGTTAGCTCAATGCTTTCCCTCTTTAGAGAATTGTAAGGGAGTGGGGAAGAAGAGAGATTAAGTACAAGCATGATTTCAAGTCAAAACCCACATAATTCACACAAACACAGCATTGCAGAATGATGGAGTGTCAGCACTCCCCGGGAAATATTAAGAACTTACGCATTACAGGTTTTTTTTTTTTTTAAAAAGCATTAAGATATTCTGATGACACATGCTGCAGAATGTTAAAGACAGAGTTTTGAACCAGGTTCAATTCTTATACTGACTAAAAGCGAGTGTGTAAACACACAGATAGTCCTCAACATATGGCCAGTCACGTAACAACCGTTCAAGGTTACAATGGCCTTGGAAACGATGTCAAACAGCTTGTCAAGAATTTCCGGCCATCATGAAATGGTGCAATGCCTCCCTGTGGTCACATGACCACATTTTGGACACTTGGCAACTGGTTCACATTTGCCACCAGTTGCAGAATGCCATGGTCATGTGATCACAATTTGAAATGGGTGTTTTGGGTTTTTTTTTGCCAATTTGGTGTGTCGACTTATGGTTGCAATGGCTTACGACCAAAATTCTGGTCCCAATTGTGGCTGTAAGTCGAGGACTAGCTGTACATCTTTAAGTAATGGTTAAGAAAGTACTCTTGGATTTTACACCAATCCCTTAGACAAGAGATCATGTCTAAAAGCATCATTTTCCAGACAGGTTTACTGCAACACAGAGTAAGGAAATAAAATGACGTGAGTGAAGGGGAAATTATGGAACATAAATAAAATCTCAGACTTCCTCTCTTTAGGAAGCTCTCTCTAAAAAGTTTCCTTAAATGGGAAAACTCTCCATGGCTGTTAGGGAAGCCTGACAATAGGTGTGCTACTTTGGTCCTGCAAGAATCCATATGATTCTCAGTTGGCAATGAAGGGGGATTTTTTTCAACTGTTGCCATCACTTAATTTGGGTTTTTGTATCCAGCTATAGTATACTCTTTCAACATGCTGCCAAAAGATTCTGGAGCATACAGAGCATTGAACAGTATCATAGATACTCTTTGATTTTATTTCTCTATTGATAAGAGAACTTTGCATTTAAATGTCTCAATTGGCTTTCAAATTATTTTGTTTTGTTTTTTCAAGCTGAAAATGCTATCTCATCTGGCTAGAGATTAAAACAATGCTTTTCAACATTAGCAATCTTAAGACATAACTCCCCAATGAACTTGAATTCTGTGAACTGAATTCATGCCTTAAAACTGGTAAAGTTGAGAAACAATGATTTGAACTCTCTGCTCAGAACGTTTTGTTGTTTTTACTAATCATTTTCTAGGAGCAGAGAAGATGAGGCAGCTACTCTGAGATTAGCCCCAATTATCTCATCAGAATATGTACATTAACTAAACTTCACAGATGCTGGACTTCTTCACATGCTTCTGAACAGCAGGTCAATAACAGATGGAAAACGGGGCCTACAATGCTGAAAACCAACGTACATCATGATTTGAAGGCTTTCATATTGTGAAATACATAGGAGATCAGACACCTCTCCCACTCACATGCTGGAAGAAACATATTTTCAATCCACGTATCCCCACCCAAAGTCAGTTTAGCAATCGCAATACTGAAGTTCTGTTAGAAATGTAATCAGCAAAACATCGTAATTAGCCTAACACAACAACAGATCAGAACAGAAAAACAAGAGCCTGCAGGATCTATGTGCTCTGATAAAAATCTTCAAATGATTAAGATTTTACAGATGTAATAATAGAAATGCAATATCTGAATCTCATTGGTGGTAGGGAACTGGGTGCAAATGATACTGAGCTTCTGACAGCAAATCATTGTGCTGGGCCTTAATGGGCTACTTAATGGCAAAGGAGTCCAAATGAGATATCAAAGAACGCTTAAAGAAACTTTGGTGGAAATCCAAAATCTCTACTCCCAGCAGAATAAGTACGACGTTAGCAAATACACATTACCGTCCAAAATATTCCCTTTTCTGTCACCATGATGTCTAGACAGAACATCCCAAATTTCATACCAGGTACATTTTAGAAAGAAAGTGATTATCTTGTAGACTTCAAGTAAACCACCTTTTGAATCAAGGGAAATGCAGCTTCCTCTGTTACCAGGCCTTAGTGGGGACATGTGCAGATGTTAAGATCCAGGAGCAATCATGAGCCTATCTATTTATTAGTTTGCAGTTAATTCCACCAAACTATCAAAATAGTAAAATAATGGCAAACATATTTTATAATAAAAGGACTGGAATGCTTCCATAATCTTTTGGAGTGCATTTTGCTACACATTTTTAAGTTCTGAAAACATTAAAGGAGTTGTGCAATTTTGTTTCCTTGAGTGCTTGTGCCTCTTGGGGAGTCCAAGACAGAAGGAAGAGGCAGATTGCCATTTCCCCCCATTGCTGCATGTGTATCTTGACATCTATCCAGCAGAAGCATCTCTTAAATTAGCAGAACTCAAATATAAGCTTCTCTTTTCAGAAAACCGATAATCAAAGCCATAAAATCACAAGATTTTAGCAACCACAGTATGCCTACTGGCTTTGTCTACACTGCAGTAAACCTAAGATTACAAGTCTGAAAAGTAGAGCCACTATAGCTGGCTGATGTACAACACAAACATGCACCTATTTTACTTATGGCCTGTATTAGCTTGCTAGGGCCAGTCTGCTTCCCTGAAGCAAAACTGAATTCCAGTCCAATGCCCAGACTTGCTAGGACTCTATCTGCCATTCTCCCTACTTTCAGGAGCACTGAGACTGACTTTAGTTTAGATTCAGGCCTGCAGCTTTCTCTATGTAGTGTCCTATTGTTCTATTGAACATTAGTTAGGCTTTACAACAGTGGGTACAGAACTACGTACCCTTGACATTTTCAAGTGCACAATTCTGTTCTGGAGGAAAACAAATATTCAAACTGTGAATTCAGTGGCAGCTCTTACTGGCTGTTTTCCTCCCTTAAAGATCCATGATCATTAGGCAGGCCTGGCTGTGTAAAAGACCTGTGAAAGGAATCTTGTGGGTGATGGAATAATTTCTGCAAAATCTGCTTGTGTGTGAATCCACATATATATGTATGCTTGTTTTTAACATTGGCAAGAGTACTGTTATGATAGGCCAACAAAGGCATCTGGTGGCTCATATCTGAGACACGATGGAAATGATCATACAGTGGTTTCTTCCAGTCTAAACCACCTGACCCATAGTAGAGCATTGGCAGACTCCAATGTTTCAGCCCAGGGGAACAACTTCCAGTGTCAGCAGGATTTGTGCATACGAATGGTCCATTTCTTCCTTGAGCAAGATAATGAGGATCATGAGAAGAAGAACCATGAGGACAGAGAGTTATGTCACTGATAGCCATCCACAGAACACAGGATCAAAATCTCCTAGGTATGTTCCATAACAGTTTTCTCTGGTGGACAGGAACAGTGCTAAGATGTCTGCACAAAAGAAGTCCATAAAAGAATCCGAGCCCCAAATTATCACAGCACAAAAAACAGAATAAGCACCACCACAAGGATAACAAGGAGGATGATAATTGCACACCACTGTCTTCGATCTGCCAGTAAAAACAAAATCAAGAGGAAGAGAAATTAGCTGTATACTTTCCAGAGATGCTCGCTGTTTTCACTGAGAACAATGCTAGAGTTAAGTCAGGGATGGGGGTTGGGGGGGAGACAGCAATAAGAAAAACCATGGTGTTAAGGGAGACCTTTTACAGAACAATTCACTTAGATATTGGGGCACATCAATCAATATGGTATGCACCACAAGCAACTCACTCCTTGACGTATCAGTTCAATTCCCTGAATCAGTGACAGCATATTATTTTTTTACCAGCATTTTATTAATTGTACTTTATTACATATTTCATATGGCCACCCATCTCACAAATGCAACTGGGCAGCTGTCAACACATTAAAAACAATAAAAACATTATCGACAAAACCTAAAAACTTCTAATGGATATCAAGAATAAATCTAAAGTCAACAGGCAAGGGTTGGACCACCTAAACCTAGGACCCCTGTGCTCTGAAGGATATACAGGTCTTCCATGCTTTGCAAAAGTGTCGTGTGCCAAATTAATCTTTTTATTATTATTCTAATTTTCTATCTTCTGACTTTAAGAATTTGCACTTTTGTTTTCTCAAACAGTGCAGACCTAGCAGACCTGAAACAAGAGGTCTGAGACAGTCTACTGATGCAGAGGCTACAGCTGCTGAAGACTGTCTTGCTTTCATGAGGGAAAAAAAAAGATATTTTGTTACATTTTTGTTAGATTTCAGGCTACTTACCACTAGTCATATGGGATACTTTTGCAAGTTTCTTCATAACATTATCTAGTCGGGACTGGGTGCTGTCCACTTCATGAGAAAAGTCGTCCAACATGCTGCAAGCATAGGAACAGGGCATTGATTATGCTCTGGACGATTGTTTTTCTTCACTAGCATTTTATAGCATCGCCTAACACTGTTCCTGTGTAATACTGTTACTGATATAGCAGCATAAACACGGACTGACTCTAAGGTCCCTATGATGCAATGCCCTATGCGTTGAAATTTCACATAAGAAAAGTTAGGCAAGAATTTGTCACAAAAAGTTTTACCTAACAGAGAAGTAGGTATAGTTTGGAAGAGTCTTGGAGTCTACTTCCTCATGAGGCTTGGTTGTAGCTATCATTTCTCTTTTCTCTCTTTCAGTCATTACCTTCCCCACAATTTTCCCTTTTTCATTTTTTCATTTTATTTCTCTCACACAAAGCTCATACAATCTTTCACTTACTTATAAATTTTCTTATACCACAGCCTTCCAAATCAATTATTTCAAAAAGGCCTAACTAGAAGTTACACAAGACATTTGTCATTGTCTCCTAACAGTATTAGTAATGGTAAGGATTTCAGCCATCTATCTGTTCATTACTGTGTGGTAAGCTGTGTTCAGAAATATTCTGTCTTCCTAATGAATAAAAGAGCAACAGGGTAGGGATAATTTCAGATTGGAAATAATTTCTTAGTTTATACTGGCATCATCCTATCCCATAACTATTTTTATTTTCTAAAAATGCTTTATATACTTAATACCTAATTTGGAAAATAACTGGCATTACAAAGATACAAATTGAGGAGTAGTATAAATGTTAGTTTTCAAACATTTTTTCAGATGAAATAGAAAAGCAGCAATCTTGTTTTTTAAGCTTAAAGTTAACTGGACAGCATTGGGGAATCGCAATAATGAACTATTGAAATCCTTTAAGAAGCAAACAAGCTGATTGCTTGAGTGTATTTGTGAGAAACAGTATCTCAGAAATAAAATAATTTATCATTCTTTTTTTTTAAAAAATAAACTTTATTGATTATACAACTAAAATGTCAAATAAACACATACACAACACACAGAAAGAAAAAGAAAAAAAACGATTAAAAAACTAGCAATTCTATTAACAGTCTATGGTTCCTTGTTTGTTATCAATATTGGTGACATATTTACAAATACATCTTATTGTGAGTATATAATTACTACCTCTTTTACATTTTACGGTGTTTACTAATATATTTTCTATTTTTGTTCTATCCAGTCATACCAGCATTCCTAGCTTCTATAATATTCTGATGTTTCTTTTTTCTTAAGTGCTAAGGTTAATTTATCCATCTCTGCACAGGCTGTTATTTTCTGAATGACCATTTCCTCTGTTGGAATATCTGCTTGTTTCCAACACTGTGCAAAGGTTCTTCTGGCTGCAGTAAGAATGTGCAGTATTATATATTTGACTTTTTTAGAAATTTGTCTATTAAATATCCCCAGTAAGAAGAATTCTGGTTTTAATTCAATTTGCTCTGCCGTTATTTCCTCTAACCATTTTTAAATTCTGTGTCAGTATCTTTGGGCTTCAGTGCAGGACCACCACATGTGAAAGAATGTTCTGTGTTTCTTTTTACATTTCCAGCAATTCGGATTCATGTTAGGAGACATCTTCGCTATTCTCGAGGGCAGGAGGTGCCATCTCTAAAACATTTTATAGGCATTTTCTTTATATGTTGCTGATTTTGTAATTTTATTATTCCTTGTCCAGACCTTTTCCCATTCTAATAATGTAATGCTACGTCCTATGTTTCTACTCCAAGCTATCATGTTGCCTTTGACTACTTCTTCTTCTAATTCTATCTCTAATAAATAATTATAAAATTTAGTTATATATTTTTTTATCTGGGCCTAATAGGATTTTATCTAATTGTTGTGGCTTAGCATAAATTCAAAATTATTTCTTATCCTGACTATATCTATTTTGAATTTGCAGGTAAGCCCACCAGTCTGCTTGTAGCCCGTGTTCTTGGAGATCTTGCCATGATTTTAAAGTTCCTCGCACATCAAGAAGGTCTTTGCATTTTATCATTTTGTTAAGATCTAAATTATTTGGATGTATCATCGCCTCCATCATTGAGATCCAGATTGGGATTTTTAAATAGTGTTTTTTTTTATTCCAATTAGCCAATAAGGAGTCTCTAATTACATGTCTGTGGAAATAATTATGTTTGATTTTTCCAGTGTCCCATAAAAATGCGTGCCACCCCCTCTGAAAGTTGTGGCCTTCTCGAAATAAGATTCTTTTATTTGACAGGTTTACCCACTCTTTCAGCCAAAGTAAGGAAGCTGCACTATAGTATATTTCCCAATTTGGGAGTGTCATACCTCTCCTGCTCTTCATATCTTACATTGCCTTTAGGTTTATCCTCGGTTTTTTCCCTGGCCAAATAAATTTGGTGGTTATCTTGTTAAGTTCCACAAAGTAATTTTTATGTATTTTTATTGGTATTGTTTGGAATAAGTAAATAAATTTGGGCAGAATGTTCATTTTTATAGTGACAATCCTCCCTAGTAAGGAGATTTGCAATTTGACCCATATCTCTAAATCTTTTTTGACTTGCTGTAATAGTTTATTATAATTATTTTCCATTAGGGTTTTGCATTGAGCCGTCAACCAAATTCCTAAGTATTTAACTTTTTTTACTATTTGTAATCCCTTTATCCTTTCCAATTTTAATTTCTGTTTTTCTGTTAAATTTTTAGTTATTAATTTCATTTTTTGCCTATTAATTTTAAGTCCTGCAACTTTCCCAAATTGATCTAACTCTTTCAATAGTTCTTGACCTGTTTCAATTGGTTCCTCTATGAAAAAAACCATATCAACCGCAAATGACTGGAGTTTATATTCTTCTTTCTTAATTTTTAGTCCTTTTATTCCTGGGTTCGGTCTAATTCGTGTAAGCAATGTTTCCAACGATAAATATGAAGGGGAGATAGTGGACATCCCTGCCTAACTCCTTTATTTTTATTGAGCGCGTGTACTCTCCATTAATTATAATATTCGCCTTTTGTGAATCGTAAATTGTAGTCACAATGTTTTCAAATTTAGTGCCTAAATTCATATTGTAAATTTGTTGGATTAGGAATTGCCAATTTAGGTTGTCAAAGGCCTTCTGTGCATCTAAGAATCAAGGGCTATTTGTTTTTCCGGATGGACTTTGTAGTATTCCAAAACATTTAGCACTATTCTTAAATTATTCCTAATTTGTCTATTGGGAAGGAATCCGTTTTGATCTTTATGTATATATTCATTCAATATTTTTTAAATCTATTTGCTATAGTTGTGGTAAAAATTTTATAATCAGTATTTAATGGGGAAATTGGTCTGTAATTTTGTATAAGTCGTAACTCTGAATCTTCTTTCGGGATCAACGATATCAGTGTCTCCTTCCATGAATCCGGCATTCTTGCTGCAAGTAGGACCTCATTATATACTTCCACCATGAGAGGTCCTATTTGTTCTCCTATTTTCTTATACAGTTCCCCTGGTATCCCATCAGGTCCTGGGGTTTTATTGTTCTTTTGGTTTTCTATTGCTGTTTTTAACTCAGGCCACGTAATGTCTCTGGTTAACATTTCCTTCATCTCCTCCTCGATTATTTTATTTATAGTAGTACCCAAATAGTTTCTTATCATGTCCTCATTTACCTCCTTCTTTTTATAAAGATCTTCAAAAAATTTACATGCAATTTCTTTTTTCTGTTCTATTCCTTGTTGGGCATCCCCGTTTTCATCTATTAGTTGGTAGATCAATCTTTTTTGTTTTTCTTTTTTAAGTTTATAGGCCAACCACCTTCCTGGTTTATTGGCCTGTTCAAAGAATATCTGTCTGACTTCCGGTTTGCAAGGCTTCGGCGGCGACAGGAATCCGCGATCGTGCGTGGTTTCTGCCGCACTTGCTGCTGGAGTGCTCTCGATCCAGTCGGATTTGGAGGCTATAGTTGCCCTGTAGGGGTAGCTGAAGATAGGGGAGAACCAGGCAGGGGTCCGGGGGAATCGCAACCCCCCTCCTCAGCCGGCTTAACTCCCTTCTCCGAAGGCGGTGGAGCGGCGGTCAGCAATGACCACCACAAAGAAGCCTTCAGCCGGATAAGAATTGTGCAGGAGGAAGTTTGAAGTGAAAGTTACTGGCTGACCCGGGACAATAAGGAACTTCTAAATACCCTGGAATTTAAATTTTACTAAAGATACATCACTCCCAAAGAAGATGGAAAAAGCGGTGAATGAAAGTAAAAGGGAAAGTTTGTTTTTTCTCACTCTCCTTCCTTACGGTGATAGCAGATGGAAAGTGTTTAAATGAAACAGTTTGAGTGTATTTGGATTGCTTGGTGACTTTGGGACTTTGGAAATTATTATTTGAAAGACTAAAAACATTTGGGTTGTTTTAAAATTTTTTCACAATGGTATTACTTGTTGATGATTTGAAAATGGAATTTAAAAAGCTAAAAGAAGAGGAACAAGAAGGGAAGGGCTCTTCTGGATCTGTTTTTTATTTCTTAGAAATGGCAATTTCTACCTATCAGAAACTTCAAGAACAAAGAGATTGGGATGAAGAAGAAGCCATCTTTAATGAACAAGCAATTCTAATTGGGGAAGAAAAGGAAAAGAGGGGAAAGAGAAAGGAGAAATTAAGACTTAAAAAAACAACAACAAAAAAGTATTATGTCTGCATTTTGTTTAATTAGTTTGGTTAGTATTCTTTCCCTTTTTATCCTAGAGTTTAGACCATTTATGTTAATTGATAATATTTTCTTTTCTTCGTCCATCATCTAATTGACTCTTGCTCTTAGTCTTGTAGTTACTCCTGTCTCTCTTTGTGGCTGATTGTGCGTCTTCGGTTCTTCTCTCTCTTGATGTTGTATATTTTTTTTGAGTTCCTATAATTCCCATCTCTATTCTTTTGATAGTCTTGATCGTCTTGTGAATTTGTTTCTAATTCGTCTCTACTACTCGATTCTTCAGCGCCTACCAATCGTTCATAGAATTCTTGGGCTTTTTCCACAGAGTCTACTTTCATTTTCCTTTCTTCCCATGTGATTAGCATTCCCTCTGGAATTAGCCATCTGAATATGATGCCTTTTGGGTTTAATTGGTTCACCAAGAATTTATAATCGCGCCTCTGCTCTCTCACTCTTCTTGGGATTTGTTTAAGCACCAAGATTTCTTTTCCTTTATATGTAATTGTTTCTTCTCCAGAAATTTTATATATAACATCCCGAACTTTTCTTCTGGCAAATCTCACGTGGACCTCTTTTGGATATTTATGTCATCTTGTGTAATTTGTGCTCACTCTGTATACTTCGTCTAGCTCTTTCAGGATATCATCCTTATCTTTTTCCAACAGGTCTGCTAATATTCCTGCCATCACTTGTTCCAAATCCTCTTCTTTAGATTCCTTTATGTTTTTGAATCTAAAATATGCTGCGGCCTTCTCCATTTCCAGATATACCAAGGAATCGTCCATTTCTTTAATCATGTTTCTTAATTGCTCACCAGCCATTTCCAGCTTATTTTCCATTTGTTCTGTCTTTTTCTCAACCTCCTTTATTGTTGATTCATTCCTTTCTAGTGCTTGCTGTATTGTTTCAATTTTTTGATCCAGCTTTAAGATGTTTAATTTCATTTCTGCCTTTAAGTTCTCCATCTCTTTTAATTCATTTATGTCAGCTCTTGTTTCTGTATGATTTTTCACCATTATTTCCTGAAGTTTCAGCATGGATTCTTGTAAAGCGAGAAGGGTTGATTGGATATTAGCATTTGTGATGACAGGTTGTTTCTCTCCAGGTAGAGTTTCTTCAATTGTCTTTTGTCCCATCACTGAGGGCGATGGCATCGCAGTTGTTTGTATTGAAGAAGTCTTCCTCCCAGTTTTAAATGTTGTGTTAGTCATAGAGGTCATTTCCTGTAAAATTTGTTTTTGTTTTTGTATTATACTTAATATGTTGTCCCAAATTAGCATTCGCTATTGAGAAGTATCAGCTATATATCAGCTACTCTAATTAATATGATATGTTACAGTGTTAACCTCTCTTGTCAAAATATATATTCTCCAGAACAATTTTAGAGCTATTTTCTAAATCATATACCTGGATTTATAGATCTTAATAATATATCAAATTCCTCTAAATTTAAGTACTATTAATCTGTTTATCTATGAATGCTATAAAATCCCTAATCTTAAAACAGTGTTATAATATTTCAAATACTTACAAATCTAAATGAAAATATACCAACCTTGCTATACAATAATTAGTTAATTTGTAGTAATCACAATTAGTCACAATTAATTATTTAATTCAATATAATCAAATATCAATACCTAAATAATTAATTATCATCTCCTTTTTTTGGTGCTATAACCAAATATAAATTTCAATATTTACTAATGTATCAATTAAATCATATATAAATCACATTTACCACATTTGAAAATCAGTTGAGTTGGTGTCAAGAAATAATTATTACAATCAGCAAAGTTTAAAGGCTTAAAGCAGGGGTGTCCAACCTTTCACCTTCCCTGGGCCACATTAGAAGATGAAAATCTGATTTGGGCCGCACATAAAATAAAATAACAGTAACGATACCCGATCATCCCAAAAAACCATAGAAAACATAGTTAACATATTAAATTTATTTGGAAATAAAGTTAGTGAGATGTTTTTATTATTTATTATTTATTTAAAATTATTTATTTTTTATCACGGTTTTTTTATCACAGTTTTTTTATCAGTTTATTTTCTGGCCAAATTTTGGGGCGGGGGGGGGGCAAAGCTCGCCTGCCTCACGCCTACCTCCTCCTGCAAATAGCCCGGCTGGATGAGGCAGGACTGGAAGGCAGAAGCAGCAGCAGCAGCGGCGGGGGCAGAAGCAGCAGCGGGGGAAGGCTTCTGCCCCCGCCGCCGCTGCTGCTTCTGCCGCCGCCGTTTCTGCCCCCTCCACCACCCCGCCGCTGCCTTTTCCCCCGCCCCCGCCGGCCCTGCCCCCGCCGCTTCTTCCCCCGCCCCCGCTGCTGCTTCTGCCGCCGCCGTTTCTGCCCCGGCCACCACCCCCACCGCCGCTTCTTCCCCCGCCACTGCTGCTGCTTCTGCCGCCGCCGTTTCTGCCCCAGCCACCACCCCCGCCGCTTCTTCCCCCGCCACCGCTGCTGCTTCTGCCGCCGCCGTTTCTGCCCCGGCCACCACCCCCGCCGCCGCCGCCGCTTCTTCCCCCGCCACCGTTGCTGCTTCTGCCACCGCCGTTTCTGCCCCGGCCACCACCCCCGCTGCCGCCGCTTCTTCCCCCGTGGCGGGGGCAGCGGCGGCGGGGGCAGAAGCAGCAGCGGTGGCGGGAGAAGAAGCGGTGGCGGCGGAAGAAGAAGCGGCGGGGGCAGCAGCAGCGGTGGGGGCAGAAGCAGCAGCGGTGGCGGGAGAAGAAGCGGTGGCGGCGGGAGAAGAAGCGGCGGGGGCAGCAGCAGCGGTGGGGGCAGAAGCAGCAGGGGTGGCGGCGGGGCAGAAGTGGTGGGGGTAACGGCGGGAGAAGAAGCGGCAGCGGCGGGGGCAGCAGCGGCGGCGGGGGCAGAAGTAACAGCGGTGGCAGGGGCAGAAGTGGCGGCGGTTACAGCAGGAGGTGGTGCTCTGACGCTGCCCGCCTTTTCTCTTGCTGCTTGGCCTGGCGCTCGCCTCGCCCCGCCTCGCGCCTGCCTCTCCTCCTCCTTCTCGCTGGCTGTGGCACGATGGTTGGGGTGGGCATTGGGCCGCATTACGAGGCGACCTGGGCCGCATGCGGCCCGTGGGCCGCGGGTTGGACAAGCCTGGCTTAAAGTGTCTTAATGTAGTTGTTCAGTTCTTCGTCTCTAAATCAAAATTCCTTCACCAAGCGCACCGGAAGCACAAACTTGCTGAGTAATGTCTCCGGTTTCACCGTCTCACCGCACTTTCCGCTGTGGCCATTTCTCCTTTCGTTTAAAAGTCTTGTAAGTTAATCTTTAAATTCATATAGTCTCTTCCTTTAATAAATCTCCTCCACCTACTACAGCTCCAGTCCAATAATCCAAAAAGAGTCCAGTAAATTATTCAGTTTCCTCCGTGGAATATTTAAAGTTGTAATAAGGCTATTTAATGCCTTACTTCAGATCTCCCCCGATCTCAAGGTCGTCCTTCCAATTTTCCCAAAATCCACAGTTCAAATCTCTCGAAGTTCCCTTAAATTAAACTCGTTCTTTCTTTTTTCCCCAATTATTGTCAGTCACTCCGATTCTCTTATCTTCTCCATCCGATTGCTCGCGTCCTTACCCTCTTTTGTCTTATGAGCCCTTTCACTTTCACTCGTATCTGCTTTGGCTGCTGTTTTCAGGCTTCGCTCTAAGGTTCTCCAATAGTCAACGCTCAATCAGGATTGCAAATTCTTTCACTCACACTCTTCGTTCACCACAGTCTGTCACTCACTCGCTTCCTCTTGTATGTAACGATCCAGACTTCAGGACCGCCATTACTGACGGTCTGTTGATTTCGGTCTCTACAGGGTCTCTATGCGTTGCGATGAGAATCACCTTCTCCACACCGCGACTCGAGTCTCCCCACACCGGCATGCTTCTCTACAAGATGCGTGCACCAAGGGTCACTCCAACAGCAAGAGGAGATAGTGTGAAACGCAGAGTGAGCTTCAGCACCTCCATTCGTCCATATCTCGTCACCGGAAGTCCTCTTTTCAAATAATTTATCAGTCTAAATGGAAGATTCTATTAGTAAATTCCCCCTTTGTCTGAATTACTACTTTTCTGTCAATGCCCACCACAATGAACAAATAGTTTCTTTGAGTTCTATTTGTTCATTCCAAAATGTGTTTTATTGATGAAAGTTAAGCCAAAATGACTTTGCTTTTATTTTTTGGTTTGTACAGATGAGGATGAATGCTGGTGTTTCCATTTCATAAACCCACAAAGTAAATGAGATTAAATACTTAGCATTTCTAGAAAGTGCCAAATAATTTGTAGCATTCCATTTTAGATAAGGAAGCTAACCATTTCTGAGGCAATTTTTTTTTAGCTCAAACTCCATTTCACTCCTTCAACCATTGCTGAACCAAGCAAAACCAAACCAAGCCAAGTTAAGCTAGACCAAGTATTTTTGCTGCTGGGTGAAAAAATAATATTTATAAATTGCACCAAAGATACTATCATGCACATACTCAGTAACTTTCTGACTCTTACACATCCTAGGGATGATTGTTCATGAAGAAGTCAATATGGTAGTGGGATTTAGCTGCCAAGAAAGCTACTACTAATAAGTTTATATTATGCACAGAGATTCAATTTGCTTAATACTCACACAGCTTGTTCATCCAATTCCCCTCCAATGCGTTGGGACATATTCTTTAGTACTCCAATGCTGCCAGAGACCAGCTCCAACTGTTCATCTTGCTGATCAATGATTAACTAGAGCACAGAATAGAGTTGGATGAGGGGACAGGAAGAGATGAAAGAATTCTATAGTTCAAATTATGCATTGAAAAGACCATTGACAACGGACTGCAAAATGTTTTAGCTTCTTGAGATCCAGAAATTGCTTTGAAGAAAAAGTTCATCTTGCCATTAAAACAAAACAAAAGTTATCCATAAATCCCCCCTCTGAAACTCTTCTTTTTTTCTAAAGAAAAAAATTCCAGCTTATATGCCTGCCCAGATCCGAAAAGGAAAACTGAATTCCTTCAACCATGATTTGTCTAGCTAGACTCTCAATACTTTTTAATTTAAGTGGGTATGAGTTATTGATGAACTGGAGAATGACGTGCCAACATTTAGAGAAGGGGCTTCCTTGACTCAAAGCCTGATTCATGAGTATCTTTAATTCTGAGAATGTGTATCTATGTGTGGGAGAGGAGCATCCCGATTTCTGGGTCTTAGTATAAAGTAGAAAAGGTTCATTCATACTTGCTATCGATACCAAATATATGCGTCTCCCTGGATTTCTCTTGTTCTTCATTTGGGTACTGTGTCAGGTTATGAATGTGGGATGAATAAAAAATTGGCCACTCCCAGACACTCTTTGAGAAAGAAATGCTCATCACCTTGGAGGCATGATGCTCACTGTCGCCTCCTGAATCCCCCAATCTGAAATACAAATGTGAATGTATCCTGAGGTTGCATATGAATCTCACCTATTATATTAAGAGTCTGTGAGATTTGTGGGTGAAAGCCTCATCTAGAAATCCCATTCTATTAGTGGCTAGTTGGAATCTTTGCACAGACAGATCCAGACTACCTGCTGCTGTGCCTGCTGATCTTCAATGAAGTGTGAATTTGCAGACTGCAGTTCTCGATCCAAGCGGCTGTATTTATCCGCCCTGGAGCTCCAGCTGTGAGTTCCACTTTCTCCCAGAAGCACCTGCATAAGAATAGGAAATACATGGTCAGTTATTGCATGTTGTTGAAATGGAACCCTTGCAAGATGTAGATGCTGTTTTGTCATCTCCTGGTTTGATTCTAGATGGGCTGATACTTGCTTGAATGGATGTGATATTTGAGGGTTCTCCTGAATTCACAGCTACTGCTGGATTTGCAGGAAGAGACTAAAGTGAGGGGATCTTTGCTTGGTTTTGACTGATGTGCTGGTTGCAATCTAATCTTGAGTGGGAGGTCTTGGCGACAGTAATTCATGCTCTCACCACCTCTAGGTTATACTGCAACATGTTTTAATGGGGATGCTTTTGAATAGTATCTATATATAATCTGCAACTGGTGCAAAAAGTGGTGGCCCACATATTGGCAAGTGAGAATAATACCTACTATAGCTGCAGAACAGAAACTGCGCTGGCTTTCAATTGGCTTCTTGGTATAATTCAAAGTGCTGCTTCTAATAACATGAAGCATAACATAAAACATAATATACCTCTCTGGTATCTATAGGAGTTTCTCCTTCAAGGAATATCATCCACATATTCCAAGAAGGAATTTTTAACGTTCTCCCCATCTAAGAAATTGGGGTGGGAGAAGGGGGAAGAGACTGTGGAAACAGAAACAGTATTTCTCTGTGCGGTCCCTTTCCTTTGGAATAACATTTTCCAGAAAATACTTAGTTGGCATCCACCTAGCTTTCTTTTAGAAAGCCATTAAAACAACATTGTTTAACAGAAATTTTGGCTTATGACTGGGTATCTGGGTATCAGTGGCACTGGGTATCAGTGGGGAGTGCTGTTTGCTGGTTTACTGTCACTTTTTAATCATTCCCCAATTGTGTGGGGTGTTTTGTTGTTGTTTTACTGTTGTATTCCATTCAGCTCTTCTAAGGGGCATGGACTATTAATGCTGTAAACAAACCAATAAACAAACCCACTGTATTGTAAATTGTTTATTAGCTATTTTGATTGTATGATTTTTAATTCAGAAACCTCCAGAATGTATACTTGATTATGGTGACATGCAAGAACTGTAAAGCAAATGGACAAATACAACATATAAATCTCATGACTCAGACTGATCTCATCACATTTCCAAAATCAGATTTTTAAGATTCAGTAATTTTCCATTTTCAATGCTGCTGCTGCAGCTCAGTTTCCAAGCAAGTTATTAAGGAACAATCTCCTTCTTCCTATATAAAAGGAACAGTGTCAACAGAAAAAAAATGTACTAGTTTGAAACTAAGTAGTTAAAGAGAAACTGAACTATAGTGATGACAAATAACCAAAAAGAAAGCTCTGCTTATTTTAATCTACATTTAGATCTTAACTTTGCTTTATCACAGCTATGTCAGACACAGAACAATATGAACCTGCAAGATTTAGCTATTAATTTTCAGAAAAGCTTGTGTCTGCACAGTTTAACCTGAACAGGCAATACTTAAGAACAGTATCGTGTACTCTTTAAAGGGCACACAAATAGTTGTCTGTTCACTTGAAGTCCAGTAAGCCTTGAGCTCTAAACATGTCCAGGAGAGGCTCGGGGAACTGACTGGCTTACCAGAATCTCTTCTCCATAGCAAGACAAAGGTGTTGCTTCCCCACACGTTCATCTTCCACCAAAGCTGTGTTTATATTTGGAAATTCAGGGTTTCTGTCTTCAGCATCCCAACATTCACTTCCTGATGGATTATCAATGTGAGCATAACAATAGTTCCATCATTTCCATTAATTTAGGGGGAAAGCCTGAACCAAGTCTGGTATGCTTCCTGAACTAAGGGAAGTTCCCTTTTAGGTGAGTGGCTAATGTTATAACTAAACACTTAATACAAACACTCTAGTCATAACTGACCAAGTTGGCATCCAAGATACAAGGTAATACTGACCTGCCTGTTTTTCTTTTCAGCCAGTGCTTGAACAGAAGTATTTGACATTTGATCCTTCATATCCTATTAAAAAAAGTTAGCATAATTGACTGATATAGTAGTTCATTTACCATAAAATAATTTATATGACAAAATATAACCCAACTCCATTGGCTTTTTCTTGCTTTGTTTTCTTTGGAATGCTTCAGTAACAAAAACCTTGTAAGGGCCACAAAGCAGATATTCATATGCATATTTATTTCATGAGTCAGACTAAAAATAATCCACTGAAAAAGGAAATGGTGATGCAATCCCACTATTTTGCCAAGAAAACCAAATGGACAATCACAAACTGGACAGTGTCAACATGATATTGGAAGATGGGCCCTTCAGCTAGGAAACTGCTTAACAAGCACTGCAGACCAGCAGAGGATAAGTTCATGGAACGCCAGGGTTTATGATGTGGCTGGATTAAACTGAAAGAATGCCAAGTTGCTGATGTGCCAATAAGTTTGATGCTGCAAAGATATGTATATCACTGGCTTATGAAATGTTGCCAGGTTTATAGTCAAACTAAACTTGATACTGTCAGAGCAAAGTTAAGACTGAATACTGACAATGTAGGAATTGGTAACTTGGAATGCACTGCACATCAGTGTCAAATTGTAGAAAATCAATTTTCTACAATTTTCTATATTTCTACACTAGTAAAACAAAATCCTCTGTTTTATTAAAATAGAGATAAGTATTGTAAGGTATTTTTATGACTTTTCTTTAGCAACATTGCACTGCATGACCAGAATTATGTTTTTGTTCATGAATAGCAATGTTGAGGTATCTTCTTTTTCTGCTTAATTTCATGGTGAATTAGAAACTGTTTATGATCTAATACAGCAGTGTCAGACTTGCATCATCTCACTGTAACGTGACATATTGTGACTTCCCCCCCCCTTTGTTAAAACGGGGGTAGGCGTGGCCAGCATGTGATGCATCCAGCCCATGGGCCACGAGTTTGACACCCCTGCTCAAATAAATAGGTAAAATTTCTTGAGCTATATCATAGTCTTGCCTCCTCAAAAAACTCAAACGTCTTACCCTGACCACTTGCCGAGTGCTTGTGATGAAGGCTTTTCTCACACCTAGTTCTGTGGCATCAAGGTTGAATTTCCGAGGATTTGCTTCAACAATGCGTTGAAAATAATTAGTTAAGGGATTACATTTCAAATGCAATTTTTACTTATATATTTTCATGAAACTTTTAAAGCTAATACACAAGGAAAAACTATTCTATCAGCATTTTTAGAACTGCTATGCTCTTATGACTTGCTTTCTTGTTTCCTGTTTTTTGAGATCCAGAGCTAAAACCATTATTAATGCTACAGAATTCAATTCCGATTGTCTTTTGCTGGCTAAGTGCTTCTTAGGAGTTACGCTATTAGGAGTTACACATAACAATGTTCCATTTGTGACTACAGACTGTGTAAAGGAAAGCAAACATGTATATAACAACTTTCTACGCTGTAAATGTACAAAGCTGTCCAGTTATAGAGTGTATGTCTGATACTTTTATAAAGGACAGTATTTATATATTTCTGGATTCATCAACTGCTCCAAAATATGTTGGTTGAGAACTTTTATTTATTATATTGAATAATTTTATGGAAAAACCATTTGGTTACTTGCCTAAATACTATGTGAGTTTATTTAACTGTTCGTCTCAGGAACAAAAAGGATATTGATTGTTTCATCCAGATCTTCAAGATCCCATTCAATACTCCTTAAGTTGTTCCTTAGCTCATTTGTGGTCCAGTCGATTTCTTCTCTTGTAGCTGTTGATGGATCTTGTAGGAGTTCCGTCCATCTCTGGAACAGTCCCTGAGCAGTGTTCACTGCCTTCTGAACTTCCCTGGAAGTGAAAGGAGGAGGAAATCCTCATGAGTATTCACATAGAAGTTATCGTCATATAAACTGTAAGTATGGGACTATATGTCTCTACTGAAAGTTCACCTTATAGACTAGCATATCTCTCAAAAAAACCCTCATCATTCAGCCTGAAAGTGAAATGCATGCATAAAGCGGTTTGTCTTATACATAATATACATGGGAGTTACAAAAGCTCAATCTATATAATGGTGAATTTCCAGGTTCAATTTGTATATATTTTTTCCTATGTATGAAGGGTGAGATTAAATCACAGAATAAGAGAGGATTGATATTTTACTCTTCTGTCTTTCTACTAGACAAGATAATGCTGAGTGGGTACAAATTATCCCCATGATCTTTTTGGTGGATGGAAATGATTTGAAGAATTTATCATTCACTATTTTAAACTCCTATAATGCTACTGAAGTTTCTAAAGTGGCTTTAAAAATATTGTTTGAAAACCAGATCAGTGGTAACTTAAATATCTGTTGCAAGGAAGGGATGGGGTGGAGTGGTTAGGAATGCATTGATATCAGGTAAACTAGGCTATGGCAGTCCAAGGAGCACACTGAGCATTTCTGATTGCAAATAACATGTTGGTAATTATGCTGATCTCTGACAGTAATAAAGATTGATCTGACAAGTTGGTGATTCAATACTGTAAGGGCCAATTTTAGACAAATTTGTGTCAGAAAACTCAAATGGTGCACAGTGTTTTATGCAGTTAAATCAGACTGTACCCTGTTAAATTTCCATAACACAGCAGCTGAAGCATCCAAACTGGATTTAGGGAAAATTCCATTTCTTCACTTCTCCAGAAAGGGCAAAGAAAGGGAAAGGGGCGCTTCAGAGGATGCTTTAATTATACCCATTCCTCTATATGATGAATTTCCCATTCACCTCCTTTCTTTTTTTATTTACAAACATCTTTATTAAGTTTAAAAAACAAACATTAAAATAGGAAATAACAAAAAGAGTAAAAAAGAGAGGAGACTAACAGGACACATTAAAAAATGACACCCCTCCCCCCCAAATATATAACAAAAGTGACCTCTAACTTATTTTAGTACACAGATAATACAATTCAACAACTGGAATTTAAACAATATTTAAACTGTTTTAAATAATAAACACTCTAAAAATCAATATTCAGATCATATCCTCTTAATTTTGATCTAATGCATAATAAATAGGAATAACCATATATTTTTTAAAAAAACACTTCATCTAGTCAAATCAGATGTAATCCTCAAACCCCAAAGTTGATTTTTCTCATGTTATATGAAATTTAACAGTGGTCTCCCAGTAACAAGCAATTTAGTCAGGTTATTGTCTTTAAGGAAAGCAGTCAATTTTGCCATCTCATCTAGTTCCAGCATTTAATGACATCTACTGTATTAAGTGTTCATTTATTGAAAAATGTTCAATTGAATCTGTCTTAAACTTTTGAGGTATCTTTCAAAAAATATCCAACCCTGTTCTGCAAGTAATGATTCATTTTCATTGATCTTCTAAGTGATGGTTTATCTACAGAAGCAAAACTTTACATGGTGAAAATTTCCAGTACTTGTTTTATTGTATAAGATTTTGTTGAACATTTTTTGTGTAAGATTTCACTGAACACCTTTAAAAACTTAAATCTGTCTTATACTTTTTCAGTCGCCATCAGTATGTTGGAGGGGTCTGACGGAAGTCCCTTCTTAGAAATAATGCAACAATCTAGAGGAATGCCAAGAAAGGACTTTTACATCAATCCAATCCTATGGAAGAAATTCTGACAAGGAAGACCCAAGAGAGGGCTCATTGGCACTGTTAAATACTCTCATCAGTCTCAATTATCTTGGTTGCAGGAAAAAGAAAGTAACAGTAAAGGAGGTCTCCCCCCCCCCAATCAACATAATAGACTTTTCTTATCCCCCCACCCCCCTTCTTTATATCTTTGACTAGAGACCTTGGTAACAAATTAGAAAAAAGGCTTCTTCAAACACAGGGCCTTTAGTTCCACAAGGACTCATTCAAAATTAGCAAAATGTTCCGAGAATGCCACTTACACAGTAGGCTATGGCTGCTATGCACATACTGTAATGAATTCAGCATGTAAAATAAGTAAACAAAATACAGTATCTTTTAGCAACAAAATAATAGTGCATTCAGTGTGGGAAATTTCACAACCAATTATAACTTGAGCAAAAGATACAAACTGAACACACAAACAAATCACTAATTACTATATTCTACTATACCATAGAAAGTTCCATCTGAAAAAAATATTATTCTATTGAAAATCAATACGTCATTTCAAAATATGGACAGAGAAAGTAGCATTTGCTAACTTTAATTTGAAGAGGCAATTAAAAACATTTTAACTGTATATTTATGACTATTTTAATTTCAAAGAACGTGCTGCATGTCAACCTATATGTGAAGCACATCCTCTACTTCGGCACAATAGCTGCTTTACTTCATGAGAGGGCAGATCGTGGTACTTAGAAGACACATGACAATCATGCTACCAAATATTGTTATTTCTCTTAATATATTCTTGCACATAAGCTTTTGATTAGTTTTCCCTCAACTTAATGTCTTTCAGACGTGTGAGATTATAATGTTTATTATTTCCAACTAACACCCTAATGTTGGCTGGGGATGGTGATGGCTGCTATCCAACACATCTGGAGGATCAGGTCAAGAAAGCTTAATATAGTAACAGAAAACAGGAATATTTGAAAGGTTGATTAAAACTGAACAATATGCAATCTTCCTGTCTACCCACGTGTGCACATATTGTACTTCTCTATTTAAGGCATTCTAAATATACTTATATTTCTTTCTTACAGTAGCTTGTATGAATGCTTCAGCTATAACAGCATTCTAAGGCAAAAATATTTAGATGTATATTTAAATATATATGCTTTAAAGTTGTTTATATACATACTATTGAAAATGATCGTGGAAAGCTCATAATCCTGGCCTAGACACTATTTGTAGCACAATGAACAGTAACAATGAACAGAAGCCAAACAATGTTGTAGGATGAGAACAAGAGTCATTAGTGGAATGATGATACAGAGTTAAGGGAGATTTGGGAGGTGTAATGGCTGTTTTTAATCCCCTTAAATCAATTTGGGAGTTACATTATATTTATATATATTACACATCATAATGTTAGGAAATTGTTTAATTTTTGGCAACCTTAAGGAGAAGGCTGAGTGGTACAAAATAGGGAGTAAGAGGGCATAGGGAGTAAGAGGGCCAAGTCCTGGCACCACCCTATTCCATAGTGTGGCATTCTGAAATATTGTCTCCAGGTATAGCACGGTCATGTAACTATTACCCCAATAGATATTTGCTAAAACTTTCTTGCATACATCCAGCTGCTTTCTTTAGGAAAATAAACTGCTACATCAAATCGAATAAAACAACTTGGTATATCCTGAATCAACAATATTATCCAGTTTAACTGAGAGAACTCACCCACTTAAGATTCCCCCTCCCCCAGTTTCCACCCTTTTTTATTGTTTAAATCTCACATTAAGGGAGTACCTGTACACACACCTCCACGCTTCACATATGCAGACTAAACACTCAAGGAAAACAGAGCCAACCCCCTCCCCTCCAGCTCCCCTTAGGATTTCAGCTACCACTGCTGCAGACAAGTTTGTGCCTGTTAACTTTACCAAGGTGTTTGCCAGGTAGGCAGGGAAAGTTGGCTTAGACAGGACCAAGATTTGCTTCTGCTAGGGAAGCGGATCCACCGAAGGGAAAGCGCCACCTCACAACCTCCGCGTGTGCCATTTTTGCAACATTTCCCCTACCCCTTTCAACCAACCGCACATTACACTGCAACAATGGAAAGGTGGGGGGAAGAAACCCCAGCACACAACAAGGAAGATTATCCCGTTCAAGAACGAGCAGGGAGGGGAAAGAAGGAAAACCTTCCGAGAAATAAAGACAATGGGTTCAGGTCCCAAAGCGGCACCCTTTCAAAGGAGAGGACCGGTCTTTCTTCGACCCAGAGACGGGCTGACCATCTCACGGAGGACTAGGCCGGGAATACCACCCACACCCTGGCAAGGCCTCCTCTTCCTCCTCCTCCTTCACCGCCACCTCCTCCTTGCGGGCTGTCCACCCACCCTTTCACCACAAAGAAGGGGTCCTCCATGGACATGACGCCTGGCGCCCGTCGCCGTGCGGGCTGGGCTCCAAGTTGGTCCCCCACGCCGTGCCGAGAGCTTCCCAGGCTGGGCCGCCCGTTTGCTTCCGAGGCTTGCAACCCTCCGCTCGCCCTTTCCTTCCCCCTACGGGGCTGAAGCAACGGCGGCGGCAGCGGCACCAACAACGCCTCTTCGCCCCGCTCGCTCTTCTCTCCACTCAGCGGGTTTCAGCGCCCTTGGCCGGAGGAGCCCCCCTTCACGTGAGAAGGGAAAAGCGACACTCCCCATTGGAGCAGAAGGACGTCCACTTTGCCCCACGTGACGAGGTAACACGGGAGGCCCCGCCTTCCTCCCTGAGCGTGCGGCCGAATCAAATGCGCCTGGGAAGGGAGGGGCTTTGTCAATGAGGAGAAGGAGTGTTTGCTTTAATCTCAATTTATGGGGTTTCTGTGGCACGAAGACAGGCTTTTGAAAGTTTTCTTTCCAAAAGAATGTTTAGGTGCTCAAAGCCGAATAATAAACAATCGAACATCGAGATCTGCCTATCCCAGGTCCTTGGTAAGGACTCGATAGGTACACGAAAATGCCAAATCAAGTCTGAACAACTGGTTGACTCTGATAACAACAACAATAATAAGGTTTGGTTCATTGACACTGCAGTATCTCGTGATGCACGAATTGAAGACAAGCAGCAAGAAAAAATCACAAAGTACCGGGACTTACAAATTGAAGTTAAGTGACTTTGGAAAAATAAATCGTGTGTTATCCCAATTGTAATTGGAGCCCTTGGTGCAATACCTAAAGGACTACCTCGGTATTTGGAAATTCTGAATTTATCAGATTTGAATACCCTGATTCTACAAAAAAACCCACCCTACTTGGAACAGTTTATATCTTCCAATGCTAACCTTAACAGTTCCTAGGTCCTTGGTTAGGACTCAAGCTGTTGAGCTACCAACCAGCCCCAAAGGCTATAAATCTAATCAAAGATTAACCACCACCCACAACAACAATAATAACAACAATAACAGTAATAATAGTGAAAATGGAGAACATTATAAAAACAACAGGAAAAAAGGCAGACTATAAGCTGGACAACAGAGTAAATGGCTGGAAAACCAAAGCTTTGCATGGACAGCACTTGAAAAATATTGAAAGAAAATATGATAACTTGACATGGGCATGGGAACCATCAAGAAAGAAGCGGAAGGTTTAATACTTGCTGCTCAAAAACAAGCACTAACAAACTTAATGGCATGAAAGTGAGCATACAAAAAACCACTGACAATCCAAAGTGCCAACTTTGCAATGACAAAGTTGAAACTGTTTCACATTTAATATGTGACTGCGGCAAAATTGCCCAAACTGATTACAAAGCTAGACATGACCAAGTTGCTAAATTAATCCACTGGTCATTACGTAAAAAATACACCCTACCTGTATCCGAAAAGTCATGGGAACATATTTGAAAAGTTGTTAAAAATGAGATGGTGAAGATCTTGTGGGACTTTTGAATACAGACGGATCGCCATTTGGAACACAATACGCCAGATATTATGGTTGTTGAAAATCGAATTGTACAATTTATTGATATTGCTCTACCAGGAGACCAGACTGAGTTTCATGTTTAATGAATAAAACAGATGATGATACTTCATCATCATCATCATCGTCAGCCAGATGTTTAGACTGGGTTTGGCATTTTTGTCTACCTATTGAGTCCTTACCAAGGACCTGGGATAGGCAGATCTGGATGTTTGACAGTGTTACAGATATTGTTGCAGGATGGAAGCTGTTTCAAGGAAAGCCGCCTTCTGCAGTTGACTGATGGTGTTCAAGTGATGTTCCAGTTGTTGTGGGAATGCACGCAAGTACTATTTCTCTTATAATTTAATAAAACATTTATTCCAGTTTTATGGTCAGAAGGACAACATCCTTGTATGGACTAAGAGAGAATCACCTAGTGAGTTTCCATGACTACATGTGAGTTTGAATCTGGGTTTCCTGTGTCCTAGCCAAATACAAAACTGTATCGCAAAACGGAAAGTTAATTGGCAAGCCCTACCATAAGGCTACCATACTGTACTTGCAAAATTCTGAAATACTAGTTGACAGCAGGGACTTAAAAGTGTCTCTTTTCATTTTTGTTGCTCAGATATGGTATCTTTATAGGCATTTTAATAATCTTTTTTTTTTGGGGGGGGGTTTCTTGCAAGTTTTATCCTTTGTACTATAATGTCTCTCTTTTCTGATAGATAAAGCCATGGTATATGTAAGTATGGTTTATTGAATAAATCACAACCAGCTGATTCATACTATTAAACAATAAACTTCACTTTACAAACTGCAATGGCCAAGCTCACATGATACACTCCAACATATTTTGACTTAGAATATTATGCAAACTTAGCCAATATATCATCCCCAACTGCTGTTTTTTAAAGAGCTGTGTCATTATCACCTCTCATCCAACCAGAGGATATATGTATTGGATATTTACCCACTAAGGATGATGCTTCTGAGAAAAAGGATAGGTGTTTCTCATACTTAGCTGCATTTGTGGACCATTAAATGAGAACTAAGAAAATATACAGAGATCAAAATAACAAAATGAGCAATCCCTCCTTTTGATTTCATCTAATAATTATAATTGTATTTGTGAATATTTTCCTGTCCCTGCATTTTAAAAAGCCTTTTATCATTGCAACAGAATGCTTCTCCCCGTTTATATTTTACTTCCTCAGCAGCTATTCTGGCTTCAAATTTTGTTCTAATATTAACGAAGAATTTCCTATTTTGATCATACATTGTTTCTACATGTTTGTTTCACTAAGCTGTGGTTTGTTTAGCAAAGGTTTGCTAAATTGGATGGATTCGCTTAACATATGAAGTTATAAATTATGGTTTAGAAATATAGTGGTCTGGTTCAACATTATAATAAGCCCAACTAAGCTATATTAAACCTGGCACAACATGTGAACCTGGCTATTATAAACGACATTTTCCTTGCTGTAGGCTAAGCAAAGAGGACTGCCTGCTGAATAGTTGCATATTACTCTGCAGATAAAAGCATAATTCTACGAGCAAATTCAGATTGTGAAATGTGCAAGTGTTAAACAGATGAAAAATATGTCCAAATGCATCTATACAAATATTTCAGTCTCTTGGGAGACAAATTTAATAATACTTGCTGGGCCTCAGATACAAAAAAAAAAAAGTTTTTTGTTCATCTGGTGTGGTGCACTGGATAGTGTTAGGATTTGGATTGAAACATTAGGAGGTTGGATTCCAAAAGTCAGGATGGTGTCCATATAATTTATGTCTTGCCCCTTCATGCAATACATTACTAGGATAGGGCTTCACTCACACAACTGTGACTGCCATTTTAATTTTAGGAAGCCCCCACAGGGATGTCCCTAATATGTGCTGGTTACGGCTCTTCTCAATTCACTATTTGAAGATTAATAGTACAATCTGTGTAATCTTTACTTATGAACTGCAACACAGTTGCTGGGAGATTATCTGTTCTTCAAAAATTCCTCAGCTATTCCAGAACCTCATCCTGGAGAGATTCTGGTATAAACTGGTGTGAGCAACAGTTAGAAGATACAAGCGCAGTCTCTAGGTCTATATACACAAACTTTCTCCAATCTGGCACCCTCCAGAGATGGTTGACCATTATGCTAATCATCATCAACCAGCATAACTATACTGAGAATAGTGAAAATAGGTGGAGGGTGCCAGGTCAAAGAACTGCTAAAGGACATATTAGTATCATATTAACACCAACATTTATGTGGTATTATCTGTGGTTTAAAAGGTCCAAGTAGGTAAACTATCCAAAGAGCTATTTAAAGTAAGGCTAAGGTAATTCCTTTTATTTAGGAACAAATACAGAGCACATTGCAGCAACTGCAGCAATTGAATGAACCAGAACATGGATTTTTTTTTAGCCTGTTCAATCTTACCCTAGAGAGGTAGCAGGCAAATTACAGCTAGCCAAATGCACTCCAATGCTACTTGGACATTGAGACAAAAATGAAGACCAGGAAACCTCCAAGCTGAACCGTCTCTATTGCTTTTTGGAGCCAAGGTGGAGCCAATTCAGAATCAGACAACCATTTCCTACATTCATCTTATCAATAATGCCTCTTGAGCTAGTTCATACCATCAAGATACTACAGTTCACTCTTCATGTAAGCCATCCTAATTCCGTGTGTGTGTGTGTGTGTGTGTGTGTCCACACACACACACTTTTGAGTCTGTTTTCAGCTTCTGTTGATGGCTCATTCCTGCAGTTTTCTTGGCAACATTTCAGAAGTGGCTTACCATTGCCTTCTTCCCAGGGCTGAGAAAGAGTGACCGGCCCAAGGTCTTTTAGCTGATTTTGTAGTTAAGATTGGAGTAGAACTCAGTGTCTCCTGATTTCTAGCCTGGTGCCTTTACCAGTATACCAGACTTGCTCTCTAAATAAAATGCACTTCAAGAAAAAGGAAGATCGACTGCTCTCCCTATAAAATTATAAAAATCTGCCTTATCTGATTTATCTCCATACTGAATCCACTCCAACCCAGTGGCACAATGCAATCTGCCTCAGGCTTCGTATCTCTTTTCCACTGACAAAATACATCTAGTCTGTTAAAATTAATATTACAATCTCTCTTATCAATAAAAACTGAGGACCAAACTGTTACACAGTGGGACGTATCTTGCTAGATGTTGTTACTTTCATTCATCAAGGAGGTCAGTATACAACCTGGATTGTATGTCCATCTTTTACCAATGCACAGATATACTGTCTCTTGATATCAGAGGCACTGTTCATTCATTAAACTTGCAACAGGGAGCAGTTCCACCATGCAGCACCAAGGCTGCCCCAGTTTCTTGTTAATACCAAGGAGAAGTTCCCAAGATCCCCTCTCTCACTTCTCTGTTCTGTCCCCACCCCCCCATTAAGCAGCTTGGATTTTTGAATGAGGTTCCTAGTTTTACTAGGAGGCTACACTGTCATTGCATTTTGAGACATAAAACAAAAATGGTCTCTTTGTGCCTTTTTTTAAAAAAACAAAAGCAAAAATGGTCAAAAATTTGCTGGACCTTCCTCCGTTTTACAGGGCACTGTCTATTCTGTTAGCTTCTTTTGTTACATTTTTGCCTGACCTATTTGCTTTTGGTGTGAATTGAAGCGGAATTCCCAAGGCTTGGGCCCCACTGTCCTTTCCCTCAGGTATTCCATTATCACCCAGGAGTAAGTTATTAGCAGTAGAAAATCTGTTACTAAGGCT